GAAATATGATCACAGAAAGCTTAGCATCCCATCTTCTTCCTTTAATTGTTTGAATTATCTAAAAGGATAGTAGGATGTGCCCAGGGAAATAGGTTTCTTGTTAAGTCTTTGGGGAGTATGAGGCCTTAGGTGGAATACTGAGAACCACCCAGAACCTTCTGACATGGGACATTCCCAACTGAAAAGATATGCTGAGCAACCCAGAACTACTAAAGGAACAAAAGACACTTCCTGAAAGAAACCAGCAGGAAGGGGGCACAGACTGGCTGTCACAATATCAAGCAGCAAGCTGTTTCCCTTGGAGCCATTGAGGCAAGAAAGTCAGCCCATCAGAGAATGGTATGTTCCCTGGTGACCACCCTGATCAACTTGTGAGTGGAACTGGGGAAATACAGCAATGAAGACATTGACTGAGTTTGACCATGATCCATAGACACCTGATGACCTTGAGATGAGAGAGAAAGAAGAAGGGCTGGGAGGTATGAAGGTCAGGGAGACGTGTGAGCTCCCAAGCCCAAGGACACTGACCTAGAAACTCAGGGTTAGAGTTAAGAGTGAAGCAGGCAGCCAGTCTGAGGCAGGGGGAGGCATAGGAGAACTCTCAAACTTGCACTTATTACCCATTTAACCTAGCTTGGATGACTTGCTGACTGGTACTCGATCAGATGAAGATAATTATGTTGGATACAGGGAGCAACATAAATTGCTATAACCTGATGAACTGGACCTTTGCTTATGGAAGAAGTTTCCCAAAATTCCAACAGAAAGAAAAGGATTCTTCCTATCAAGGATCAAGCTTGCCTCCTCAGTACACTGGGCTGATACGGACAGCAACTTATACTTCAACTACCAAAACTGGGTGTTGGGGGGGAGCTACAAAGGCACTGAGTGGCTGGCTTATAAGCTTTTTTGAGGGGATTTAGTGTCAGAAAGTGGTGGGTAAGAGAATCCCCACTGAACAGGTTTCTTCTTTCCCAGATGTGTCTGGTAATGACAGTAATAGGATTTTATGATTCAATTGTGAGTAATTGTTATCAGGACTAATGACAATTTTCACAACTGTATATAGAGGAGGTGTAATTAAAAGGGGGGAAGCAGTTAATTGGTCATTTTGGGAAGAGAGGACCATAGGATCATCAAAATGGAAGAAGATGAGAGGAGCCAGCAATCCTAACCAAAAAAGCAGTGACAACACAGATGGTGGCCGAGGCAATGGCACACAGAGATAGGACAGCCAAGGACTGCAGACTAGTGGGCTGGGAAAGGCAGTGTGGCTGTGGGCAGGAGGCTGACTGTGGAAGTTTGCCATTTGAACATTTAAATGAATATATGTTTTCAATGTGGCATATGAACATACAAAAAACAAAAAACATTCTCCACCTTCTTTTTCCTAAACCTATCAGAAAAAAAGCCATTTTCTGGGAGTTTACAAAGACTATGGAGTCTTTGCTTGGTTCAAAGCCACCATTCACACTTCATGAACTCTATAAAGGGTTCTTTTGAGTTAGGACCAACTTAACATCAATAAATGATGAAGAGACACAATAAGTAATCCATTGCAATGGACTTACATATGTTTCCTCCTCATGGATTTCTCACTTTGACACATTGAAATATATCTATTCCCAAATTTTAAACTATAATTTTCAGATTTCTATTTTACTTTCCATTTGGTCATGGCATATATTAAAGAAACATATTCATAATATAGAAATTAATTTCAAAAAAGATTCCATATATTAAGTCAAACGTCATACATATAACAAAGGAGGAAATACATTGCTGGAGTGAAAATGAAACACAATCATAAATGCCTCTCTTGTTTCAAATAAAAACAAAAGCTAAAAACCAGCCTACCAAACAAAATCAATAAATAATATGATAAAAATATGAAGTTATACACTGATAAATTTGACAACAAGATTATACTTTGGAACCATTAACTTGGTCCTTAGTCATAGTGACACGTAGGAACCTGAGGATGTGTCAGAGCCCTGGGAGGTAGGACATGGGAAATAGGTATTGAGGGTGGGATGCCTGCCATGCGAGGAACATATCATGTGACACATGCAGAGCAGAAAGCAGATGGATGTGAAAAGATGGACAGGGAAATGGTAATGAGGTGGTGTAATTCAGTTATCAAGGTAGAAGAAGGTAGTGCTATTTCAGCAGAAAGAGTCCATGCCTGAAAGTCTTCTTATTTCACTCTTCTCTTTCTACAATTATCTAATTTTCAAATTTCCACAAACAGATTAGCACCCAATTTTTCTGAGTCCCATAAACATGTTCAGCTAATACTGCTCATGATTTGACAAGTCTGAGCACCGAGAGGAGATCCCAGGTTATCCTCCTACTGTTCTGGGTTATGCACTATAGAAAAATTTTCTTTGAGACTTAGTAATAATTTTATTTATAGTTCTTGGAAAACTTCTAAGTGCTTCATTAAAGATGTTTCTTCTCTGGCTTCTGGGTCCTAGGCAGCTTAGGCAATGTCTCAGAGTCAGAAGATGCTTCATTTTATTTTTGCCAGCAAAATGAAACTACATGTTTCACAGAGAAATACCAATGAAAGTTTGCCTATACTGGTCTGGTTGGTTTTCTTAGAGTTTCAATTGCTATGAATAATTCTACGTTATTGAGTTCTGATATCCTTTGGGGTTTTGTTTGTTTTCTTTTGCTGTTTCTTTTTTTGTATGTGTGAGATTTGTGTCAGGGAGGGTTTGGTCTCTATTAAGTCTGCATCTCCCTCTTTATTCCTGTAAATCCAATTGTTCCTCTGCTGCCTGTGCTAATGTTGCTGTTAGAAGGTTTCAACATTCTGTAAGGGTGCCACTGCATGCAAATAGAACAAGTATTAGTGGACCAAATGCACATGTCCATCAGGAAAAGTCAGGTTTTCATTGAGTGCCCAACCTCAGATGTTCCTCCTTGCCCAGAATCTGTACATTTCATCTAGTCTCCTGACCCTTTACCCCATATTTTTGCCAGGTGTCTTTTCCTCATCACTCGTATTGACCACACAGAATTTGCATTAAACGTTGTTGTATGATATTTCAAACACAACTCATATTTACTAATTTTGGGATCTATAGGGCCAAAGGAAGAGTATATCACTATTCAAACTCCCTCTGAGTTCCTAAATATTTTGTAATGTAAAGAGCTACTAGAACTAGAGGACAGTGCCTTAAATTTAGAGATTCAGAAAATCAAAGGAACCATGAATCTATATATGATGTTTATAGAAATCATAAATGATTGCTTAATTTTCATAAAGAAAGACCATCCTAAATACAGAGTCACTAAAGAGGAAATATATATATTTCTGGAACAAGACCTCCCTTCAATGTGCAGTTCTACTCAGTGTTTCTTCGTTTTGTCTGTGATTCTTGGAGAATCCTCACCTGGGTTGACTTACCAGGATAGTTCTGAGTTACCCTTACCATAAGTTTTTGAGTTTCCCTATTTCATAGGATTCACTGACTCCCCAGGACAGTAATTGTATCTCTATACCAGTTAGCCTTGTCTCTTCTATTCACAAACTTTAGTATACAGTTTAAATCTCACAAGTACTAGCAACTTCACATAAGCAATACTCACAAAACATGGAACTCTGACCTCATGAATAGAAAAGATGCTGGGAACTGGTAATTTTCAATGCTATTTTTCTTAAATGCTGACAAGTATGTTGTGACTCACAGCAAACCTCTATAATGTTTCCAAGGACTGACTGGTGGGTTTGTCCAGCCAATCTTGTGGAGCTCTCCAGAGCTTACTCTACAGCACTTCATGAGGACTGCTAAGGCTTAATTGTTGTGGTTGCTAAGTGTTGTCATGTTGGTTGCAACCCCTGGAGAACCTGTATAGGGTTTTTGAGGAAGAGCTGGTGAGACTGAACTGCTGACCTTGTCGCTCAAACCAACTTTGCAGGCCAGCACATTAACCAACAGTATGAAAAGGTACACAGTAAAGGGATGTTACTCCTTTGCTATCTATGGGTTTTACCACATTAAAAAAGAAAGAAAAAATAAATAGTAGCTTTAGATGAGTGACTAAGTCTGTAAAAGAGGAATTCGTCTGGACAAACTGTAACATCATTAGTGTTATCGTTTTGGTTAACTTGGTTGGTTTCTACAAGGTTTCAAATTTTATCAAGTTATAAAAATTCGATGCTAACTTTCCTACCACAAAATGAGTTGGCTTCATTTAGCAGTCCTTCATACAGACAGGATCCTGGACTTTTATGTTTGCTATATAACATACTTGGATGTTTGATAAATAACATTCTGTTGATGGCAGGCTGACGTCAATCCTCTTCTGTATTGAATAGAATCTGAGAAACAATCTACCTAAAGGTTAATTCTCTATTTGAAGAAATAGTATCACACCTGCACCATTTCCTTCATTGCACAGACTGCCACCAAACTGGTTCCATTTGAAAATTTATTGATTCCCACTACCATATGTATCCTTAGATAGTTAAGAATCTTCAACAGTTAGCTAAGCCCAGGCTCCACTTGAGTCTCTGTGAGACACACTGAGAATGCTGACCCTGAGGCTTACGGTTTCTAAGGGGGGAACAGTTGTGCCATCAGGGGTGAAGGAGGTTTTTGTTCCAGTCTCTAACACTGTGGGTGAAGGTCTGTTCCAAGCCTTACAGTAGTAGCTTGCAGCATCTTCTGCCTGGATGCTGCTGATGGTCAGAGAGTAATCTGTACCCGAGCCACTGCCCCTGAACCGGCCAGGGGTCCCAGAGGCCAGGTTGGATGTTTGATAAATAAGGAGATTTGGACTGGCTCCTGGCTTCTGTTGATACCATTGTAAACTGTGACTGTTTACAGCTGAGCTGGCCTTGCAGTTGATG